GATGATCCTCAAGCTTCACTGCCCCATGCACGTCTCCATTATCTCAAGGGTGTCCCTGTTCAGGATCACTACTCTCCTGATTCTTGGCCTCCTGGTCCAAACTCATGGCTCCAGGGTCATGATGAGTAAGAGTTCTGGCAAAGTCTACAACCTCCCTTGAACCAGAGGTACCTTGAATCAGAAGGAGGGTGACTTTCCAAGAATGGCTGGGCCAGTTCAAGTCCTCACTATAATGTTTGCCCTATGTAAGACCCATCACCTTGTCCTGCACAACTTTCTTGAATGAGGCACCTTCTGATACTCAGATGACATTCTAATTGCTCATGAGACCTGGACCCCTGGGCCAGGAAAGCCCATGTGGTGGTGACAGCAGTGCTTCCAAATCTCACCCACAGGAGACAAAAATAGGAGTTCCATGGCATCCAGACAACGTGTCCACATGCTGCTGGAGAGTCTTGGGTGGTCACAGAGTACAAAGTTCAAGGGCAAAGATTGTTCAGTGGGTCCCAAGATTTGACAAGTGCCACTGGTGGTCCCACCCTTGCCTCTCTACATTGATTCCATGTCCCGCTTCCTCTCACACTATGCTAATAACAATCTAACCTGAGAAATTAAAAGTATTCACACAGCCTCTGTCCAAAGCTACAGGAAGACCCTGACCCAGGCAAACTCTGTTCCTGCCCCACAGCTGTCATTTCACCTGCCCCACCCCATGGGAGCATGTGCCACTGGTCTCAAGTCTTCCTGCTGGTCCAAGAGGCACTGCCTCAAAGAGTCTCAGCATCCCCAGATAGCAATGTCCCACCACTGCAGTCAAGAGCAACTGGGCAAACTGGAAGACTCACCCCCTCATCCAGAGAGACCACCCCATTTTCCATCATATAAGTGCCAGACAGCCCAAACTGCTGTGTAGACAGCTACCAGGAAAACTGGAGCAATGAGAGACGTCTGAAGTCACCCCAGCTAAGCTTGGAAGGCCACAGAGTTTAACTGCCTTCTTGACTGTGGCCCATCAAAAGGAGCCCCTACACATCTAGTAGATGGCCAAAATAAAAAATACTGAGGTTACCAAATACTGGCAAACATGTGGGGACACTGAATCTCTCCTACATTGCCTGTAGGAATGTAAAATGGTACAGCCACTCTAGGAAACAGTTTGGCAGTTTCTTATAAAAGTTAAATATACACTTACCACATGATCCAGCAATCCTACTCATGGGTATTTACACAAGAGAAATGAAAACTTATGGTCACGCAATTAACTTTACATGAACATTTATAGCAGCTTTATTTGTAATACCTAAAAACTGGAAAATAGCCAGGTGTTTTTCAGCAAGTTAGTGGGTAACACGCTGGTACATCCACACCTTGAAATACTAGTCAGCAATAAACATGCACGTGCTCTTTACATACAATTCAAATGGATTACGAGGGCATTATGCTGAAAGCCAATCTCAAAGAGTTATATGCTACATGATTCCATTTAGAGAACATTCTTGGACTGACAAAATCATAGTGATAGGCCAGGCACGGTGGCTTATGCTTGTAATCCCAGCACTTTGGGAGGCCAGAAGTTTGAGACCAGCCAGGGCAACACAGGGAGACCCCACCTCTGCAAAAATTTTAAAAACTAGCTGGATATGGTGTTGTACACCAGTGGTCTCAGCTACTTAAGAGGCTGAGATGGGAGCATTGCTTGAGTACAGGAGTTTGAGGCTGCAGTGAGCCATGATGGTGCCATTGCACCCCAACCTGGGTGACAGAGCAAGACCCTGTCTCAACAAGCAAAACAAAACAAAACAAAACAAAAAACACAGTGATAGAGAACAGATCAGTGATTGTCAGGAGTTAGGTTGGAGGATGGGTGTGATTATTAGAGGAGGAGCTCAGGGAACTGTGGTGGTGACTATTCTCTGTTCTGATGGTGATGGTCATTACTCCAGCCTGCACGTGTGATGCGTTGCATAGAACTGTAGACATACAGGTACACACACACTCAGAGTGCATGTAAAAACTGGCAAAATCACATAAGACTGTATCTGTGTTTATTTGAACTATACCAGAGTCTGTTTCTTGGTTTAGACCAAGTACTACAGCTATGTAAGACATCACTGGGGGAAGGTGGAGAAAGTAGACACTGTATAACTTGTTGTACATCTTATGCTATTTCACCAAAAAAGGTATTAAAACTTTAAAAAAGTTTTTAAAACTATGTTTAAAACGGGGTTTTCCCACCCTGAGGAGGGGGATTTATCCCCGGCTTCTCCCTTATGAGCAACTCCTGCTGTTTATTTTGCCGCCTTCTAACTTGTGGTTTGAAGTCTACAATGTCCTGCTGGCTTTGGCCGCACCCTCTGCTTCTCAGAGACTGATAGCCCATTTCGGATGGAATCAAAGCTCAAGTATGCCAGCACTGAATGTGAATGTGCCCCATTTGCCCCTCCCTAAGACCGTAACTTCAAAGCTAGGTAGATTCAGATCTAAGCAATGGTCTCGTGGTGAAAATCGAGGACAAATCATCCTTCTCGCCCCTGTGCCATAATTTCTTTTCTGGAATGGCTCTTTGCTCTGCTCTTCATACAGATTATACTCTTCACCTTCACTAAATGGGCCCTCCTTTAATGGAAGAAGATTAACCCTTCTTTGCCCCCTTTCAATCTCATTCAGCCGAGAGCTTTCTTTTAACAGCGTTGCTGTCTCCAGGCCTTGTGCCACAGCGGAATGCTACAGAGTGAGATGGCTGCCTTCTCTTTGAAGCATTTACGTCTCTGTCAAACACCTTTTTGCCAGACTTGGCCCTGGAAAGACAGTTTTGAAACTAAATTTATTGTGAGCTCCCTGGGTTGGCAGTATGGAATTGCACAAGGTCATGGGCATTTAGGTCAAGAGGGACTCGCTGCACTCACCACCTTCGGAGTCCTATCTTAATGAAACTCGAGCTGTATTTACTCCCAGGTTCTGCAGAGGAGTCCCCAGCATCACCTAAGATGGAGGCTGAGCATATGGGCTGAAGTCTGTGCGGCATCCTGTCCGGATGTGACAATACACTCACAAGCCACTGCTACCCCAGGACTGGCCTCAGCCCCCAGCTTCCAACTGTGCCTTAGTTATTAGAGGGACTCATCTCAAGAGACCGTGATGAGAGGGACAGCGGTGCACATTTCTCGGGCCTGGCTGAGTTGGCAACCAGGATCGTATGCTAGAAAGGTGACAATTTTAATCGTTGACTTTCCGTAGTCGTTGGTGAATCTCGTAGTTTTGCACCTTTTAGTTTCAAAACCATACTGAACAACGGAAAATGAAACCTGCAGCTTATTTTTAGCCGTTCATGCTAAATCATGAGATTTTTCTTTGCAAACCAAAGAGGATAAAGGCTACTTCAGCAGGTTAAACTTAGTCAATTGACTTAATATAGCAATCAAGTCTGGTTCTCTGACAAGTCTCAAGTGAACTTGAGAAGTTCCAGGTGATATTTTGGCCAACATTGACTATTTTGCTTAAAATTATATTTAGTTGAATTTTGTTTTTAGTTGAACAAATGTAGTACGATATTTTCATGAGAGGGATTGGAAAACATGTCATAAACCCTCCATTCTGTCATCTAGTCATTAATTCAATTAACCTATAGCTATTTTTAAGTATCTGAAAGCTTAGAATTTTTTTTAATTGAGCCAGTGTGTTGAATTACAAAGAGCAGAATGCTAGAAATTAAGGAATATGGCTTCTATGCTCATTGCTGAGGCCTTTATTTAAATATGACACTCTCTTTGAACGCAATTTTCTTCTCCCTGAAAGAAATTTTCTAGAGTCTTCCTTGTCCTTTAATTCTGTGAAACATGCTGTGCCACTGAGGGCCTGAGAAAATGTTGAGGTATTCTTTGGAGGCTGTGGCAGTGTTGTCAGGCCACTCTTATTCCTGTCTCCTCTTTCCCTGTTCTAGGAGAGAGAGGTTTTCACAAAGCACTGTGGTCTGCTTGCCAGACAACTTGTGGCTGCCCTTGGTAAACAAGTGATTAAGTACTTGAAAGATGTTCAGCCCCCAAGCCCATTCCTTAACTCCTGAAGCAAGTACTTGAACTTTAGGAAGTGGCTTCATGATACAAAGCTGAGGATCCCACTGTAGTGGTAGAGAAAGGACTCTGGAGTTTGGTGTTGGTGAGTCCAAAACATCCTCAGTGAGCCTCTCCATTGTGTTAGGAAATGCTCTAGTGCCCTGGAAGATACAAAGATCTTGCAGGAAGCAAGCCAGAGACATGGGCCTAGGTAGATAATTCAATACAACCCAAATGTATTGTGCTTTTCTCTTTAGTCGAAAGGAGTTGAAGACTCACTGAGGCTTGTTAAGCTGCTCTGACTGAGAAGAGGTGCATTGTTGTGGCCCTTTCTGAGCTGCAACATCATTTATCTGAGAGAAGAGCAAGCAAGTAAATTTATTCCCAGGTTTAAGTTTTGAAATATTTGTTGCCCAGGGTGTGAAGAAAGATACAAAGAGAAGATTATGCTCTCACATGAGGTGAATTTTTATGGATCTGTAAGAATTCTTACTTTTTTACCTTCATTTGTGTCCCCACCTTCCCTTTTCAGCCTAGTTGCCAGTCTCTCCAAAAATATGAAACTCTACTTCCTTGCTGAATGTGTTTTACCAATTCAGAAGCTAGAAGGCCCTGATGTTTCACTTGCTCTCCATCTGGTGCGTGACAAGCAGTCATGGCAGAAAATGAACATGTGATTGGGTAGTAGGAATGGGCACTCAAGGTCGTTATTCATGCCATGTTTCAAATGCACTGAGAAATGAAAGCAGCAACTATTCTGTTGCTAAAGCTGAGGTAGTGATTTCCATAATGGTGGTGACACCTGTTGAGGATGCTCCCACAGGAGGATTTGAGTTGGGTTAGGATGGGTTGAGATGTTGTCCGCCACAATCTGCCTTACAGCCTATGTCATTTGCCACTTTTCCTTTATTAAAAAACACATGGTTTACAGTTCCCTTTTCCTTCCAGCTCTTTCCTGGAGGGTAACCCCAGTTTGGTCCACAAGGTTTGCTGCTCAATCCTTGCCAACAGGTGTGTACTCCTTTCTCACATCCTATGCAGATGCTAATGGATGGACATGAGGACGCTCGTGTCTAAGAACTGGAGAATGTTTCCTGGAGTTCAGAATCCTCAAGCATGTCATTCACCCAACCCTTCATTCTACTGCCTATGAGCATTGAGCAAGATAGTCTTCTTCTCCTGTTCCCAGGTGGGGTGGAGCTGGTGGATTAGAAAGCCCCCTTTGAGAGCCATCTTGTTGGCATATACAATTACTGCAAATGAAACAGGATAGTCAGCTGGCCACATACACCAGAAGGCAGGAGAGTTGGAGTCTAGCTTTTGGCCTACTTGACCTAGAAAACAAGCTGGGCTTGATTTTTTTAGAATCACAAACTTTCAGAACTGGAAGGGACCCGAGACAGAGGCAAAATGAACAGATGTTAACAAACAGGGTCATTAAAATGGTTTTAGTGTTTAAATCACTTTAATGATAAAATAAAACAGTAAATTTGGTTGAGGAAAATCTCTTCAAAATTAGGCTTTTTAAAAGTCCATTTAAAAATATGTTGGAAAAAAATCATAATAGCTACTTAGGCTATCTGTTTAGGAGAAAAATACTATTTGTGAGTTGAAAATAGGTCAGTTTCAGCTGGACACAGTGTTATGAGCCTATAATCCTAGCTACTCAGGAGGCTGAGGCAGGAGAATCGACTGAGAGTTCAAGTCCCACCTGGGCAACATTGCAAGACTCTGTCTCAAGAAAACCCAAAACCAAACAAACAAAAGAGAACAGGCTAGTCTGATTGTTACATTGATTTTTCTTTAACTGATCATTTAGAGCAGAACAGTCTAACAACCTGATAAAAAAGTTATTCACAAATGCTGAATACATTGGGTGTAAAAGGAAACTAGCTATAATTTTTAATATAGTGAAAGGCTGCATTAATAATAAACTCATGAAGTGTGTGATCTTGGGCAAATCACTGGATCTCTCTCAGCCTGTTTGGTCACCTGTGAGAGGGAAAAAACTAGACTCCACTAGGTTTTTAATAAATACATTTCCATTTGAAAATGTATTTATTAAAAATAAACATTCCATCTGAAATATATTTATGTCATTTATTTTCATTTATTTTACCTCATAAAATATTTTTTGAATTATGGCAAATCTCCCACTAAAATATTTACTCTGCTTTGTACATTTAACTTTCCAACATGGTCCAGCTGATTCCTTCTCTTTCATTGTGTCTTTTCCACCTGCTGGGCCCAGCCTGTCTCCAGCTGGTGGCATCCTAGGTTCCCACAATTCCTAGGGCCTGGAGGGTAGAGGCTGATTCATATGAACAGAGGTAGTCAGGGCTCCAGGGAGATAGGGTCCTCTACCAGGTGTCTGCACAATAAGAAGATTACTGACATCAGGGATGGAGTGTGGACGTAGGAGGAAGTTTTATCCTCTTAGGATCGGTGGAAAGACGTAGACTTTGCGATCAATCAAACTTAGGTTTGAACGCTAAGTCTGCTATTTACTGTGTATAATCTCTATTAGTTCCTCACCTAAAATTGATGATACTCAGCTTGCAGAATTATTGGGTTAGAATGAAATAAACATTGGACATGTAGCTAAAATATTGAGTATGTAGTAGGTCCTCCATAAGGGTAGCTAGTATAGACATTTTAGCTCTGATCAATGCGGAAGGCAGAAGTTCCTGCCCAGGTCTCTAGGGAAGATGTAGATGTTCAAAGTAGCATTGAACTTTCTCAAAAATCCAAAGGCATTTTTGGTCATTGGTAAATTAAGTCACCGTGTTGTTTCCAGGACTAAATACACTATAGACAGATTTAATAACCAACCTCATTAAAAAACTTAAACTTTTTAAATACTAAGAATTTAAGCAAAAGTGTAATTGGTAAACACTTTTATTTTTTTATTTCAATTAGAATAACCTAACCTGACAACAATGTACCCACAAATGTTGACTATCTCTATTAGGTGTAAAAAGAACCCAGCTGTAATGTTTAATGTGGTGAACAGCATAAAGGAGCATGCAAACTGATCCAAATGTTTATAAACCAAGTATTCCTCTGGGACTCAGTGCCCTGACTTTATGTTTTTTTAAAAACATAGAGAGTCAAGCTTTGTTCATACTTGAATTATGTACATTGCATTAGCCGTGCAATTTAACTTTAACCCACAGGACTGCAAAGAAAATTAGCTCAGCCTGCGGAACAACGAGACCGCGAGCAAGTAAGCACGTTAATCAAAGTGAAAGGCTCACCCTTCACTTCTAGCTCTGTCCTTTTCCAGCCTGTGCCTGCCAGATTATTTCGAGTTCCTCGTATTTGACTCGTCAAAGTGGCAGAAACAGGCTAAAATGTTCACTGTGGAAAAGGGATTTGCCTTTTAAATTAATGTTTGTGCACATGCCCCGAGGAGGCTGATGAGAAGCACGCAATTTTTTAAAATCATAAGTGAATGCATACCCTTGCCACTAGTAATCATGACAAAGCTTAAGTAATTCAGGCATGATCATGGTTTTCTGAAAGTATAAAACAGGATTTACTAGTTGATAATGTCTGCCTAAACAAGCTCATTGCTTTGAATATTTTCAACTATAGTTCGTATTTGTTTAACCCGAGCAGGTCTGGTAAACGTACCACATTTACTGATTGAGTGTCTTGGAACATCACAAAATAAACCAATACGTGGCTTTTAGGCTGAGGGTGGACAGAGAACCCCATAGAGGGTTTGGAAACTGCCCTGGCATCTGTCTTACAAGTACCAGTAGGGGACCTGACCACATTCACCACCTTTCCCTGTAAAGGGAATAGAATACTATTTACTCATCTCCTGGGAGCCTAATATGGATTACTGTCGTTGTCACTGTCATTTATTATTCCCGACAGAGGAGGCAGACGACTTAGTTCAATGTGGTCAGAGTTGATTCCGTAACGTGTATATTTAGCCTACATGATAATAATTTGTGAGTATTTTTAAATGAACGTCTAGCTTTCAGACGTCATTAATGGGGAATATCTCAACAGACATGAAGAGCATTCAATGCCTAGGTGTTTGCGTCAACCTCCTCCCACCCCACTCTAAGGACTCTGCTTCATAGATGACCGTATATTGAATTGGTGCCTTATAACTCACCGTGATCATCCCTCTAATTCTCGACCCCCATGGTAAAGGAGGAATTGGCCTAAGGACACTCCATTCTAATTTTCTGACGCTGTCAATGCTAACCAGAACTCGTAGAGCAGTGATGTGGGGGTGGGGAAGATGGTTCCACTATTGGTATGAGACCAGGAGCTACTGTTTTCGTTAGAGCCACATTTATTTCTGGAGTAGTTGTGAGAGAGAGATGTACTCCAAAGAGAAGAGGACTCTCGCTATGGTTCAGGTATGACCGACCATCTGGAGAACTCAACTCAGAGACTTTAAAGTATATAGGATATAGGAAGGCAGGGTACATTCCACACACTAAGCTAAAAATCACTTGTGCTCTGGGGCAGGAGATAGAATGAGAGCTAGAAACAAAAGATCCAGTTGTGAAACCTAGTACCTCAGCTGAGGTGTTTGAACATATTTTCTCTTTTAAAAAAATTCTGGGGAACTTCAATATGTTGCTAACCTGATTATTTTCAGCCAGTCCTTACAGAAGATTGAGGTGCTGGAAAACTAGCAACCCCAGAAAATATCAACTCATTTTTGCACATGTTAAAATTAACAACAGCATATTCAGTGAGGCAATAGGCAATTAAAGACTTTTGGAGAGATAAGAAGAAGAAAACTATAAATATTACATATTCAAAATCAGTCTCAGCATTTTATAAAAATGTTGGCTTATGTCCAGGATCTACGGGTGGGGGTGGGTATGGTTTCTTTGTAGCTAAAGAAATAGAGTGGAAAAGAATCTGTTCTATTTCCTTAAAAATAAAAGACTTCTTGTTTTATACAGCATGGCAAATAAAATGCTTTTTTGTTTTTTTACCTGCCGGCAGGATCTGGAGGAAATTTTGCTAGCAAGCTATGCTGTTTTCCTCTTTGGGGACCTGGTGACACTGGTTTTGTAGCAAAACCGTATTTGCTTATTAGGCATTTCTTTAAAATCCTGAATAAGCAGCTCTTTCAACAGTTTTTGTTCCACATGTTAAACATTTCATTGCAATTCGAGCTTCGAGCGTGTGTGTGTGTGTGTGTGTGTGTGTGTGTTGATAGGAAGGAATGAAAGGGGGTGCATAAGAATTCTTGAAGGTTTTTTATTTAAAAAATTAATTCCTCACCATTACGTAGTGGAGTATCTGCAGAAGGTGATTCCAATTTATTACATACCGCCAAACTAGATCCCATCAATCTTGAGCAGTGGGGGTGGGGAGGTGGTATTGAAGACGACATGAAATTTGGTGTTTGAGTAGATGAGATTTAATTTTCGGAAAACATTTCACTCATAAAACGGATATCAACCCGGTGTCAGCACTGACCTCCTGATGTCAATGTCATCATGCAAGCGTAGCTAAAATAAGCCTCAAAGTAAAACAAAGAAACATTGCATCTCAGCACAATACGATTTCTTCTCTTACAGTATGTACTATCTATAGCCTTTTGGTATTCCTATTAATGGCTTGTTACTTTAAAATTTAGCTTTTGGAGGGGGAGGGAGAAGAAAAATCATTTTGCATTTTCTATGTTCTGAACGCATACAGTATGCTGCTGTAAGTCTTCGTATTATTTAGGTCAGTATCCTAAGGATAGCTTTTATCGTTCATGATGGCCAGCTATACAGCCAGAGGAATTCAGCATCAATTTATTTTTCTGTTCTGATTTTATTCTGCTTCCAAGTTTTAAAAAATCCATTCATATTTTAATAAAATTCTGAGGCGGTATCTGCCGCTCTGTACTGCAGATCCATTTAGCAGGATACATTTACACTGCTCGTGGTTAAAGGTTATAGCACGGATACAGACAGCTGATCATGCATTCTTCTACAAGCCTGCCGGCACCATTTAGGGTTTTGAAAAATAATCTAGAAATGCTATACCCTTTATCAAAATTATTCTTTACTTTGCAAGAGCTTAACAGTTTTGGTTTTTTCTTAGCAATTCTATAAAATTAACAATCTATAAAATGCATCCCGGACCAGATACATACTGTATTGAAAGCTTTCTTCAAGAAGAGAATATGAGAGTGTTCTTTCCAGCTTATTTTCTTCCTTAGCAAAAGGATTGTTTGATTCTCAGAAGCAGAAGGACACATTCATTGTGGAGCAGCTCTGCTTAAGTGTATGAAATGCCTTCTGTCTGGTTGCAGAATTTGGAGTTTGCTAAACAGTGTTTAGTGATTGGGCTCATCTTGCATCACCAGTTGATGACATTTTTCTTTGTTCCCTCCTACCCAGTTGAACCAAGACTCTGAGGCTGATATGCAATGTCACTTACAACATTAATCAGATACTGCATTTAAGGTGAGCTGTCCCTTGCCTCCTCCTTCCCCAGTGCTCGTGTGCTGCATGCAGTACGTATCTTGCTTCTGCGAGCCTAAGATGGCAGGCAGGATTAGTCGTGCTTGTGCTGTGTGTGCATGCTGTGTCTAGAATTCATTACACGTTGCCTAGTATTTCAGATGTGAGTATGTAAATGCTCTGTATGCCATATCATCTGGTAGCGAAGACTTGTTTTTGCCTCATTACAGCCTTAGATATTTCAACATCACCTTTCATTTCCGATTCATTTGCTTCTGGATGTTTGCTTTACATCACATTCAAAATATGATTTTACCTTTTTTTTTTTTAACAAAACCAAAACCCCCCACAAACCCTAAAAACAAAAACAACAACAAAACTCTGCTACCAGATGGTGTCTCTCCTTTCTTCGTGCATTTGCTGTCTTTTAAATAATGTATGTTGTATTGTTAATTAATGTGAATATCAAATTAAACACTTGAAACTTACATGTTTATTATGCAGGTAAGAGGCAAGGTGGATTCTATTTTTAACTCTTATGCACTCCATCATGTGCAAGCAACTTGGGTTCTCAAATTTGTATTTTCAATGCTGGTATCAGTGGTTTGATTTTCAGCAAATGTGACAGTGGCCTTTGCAGTGGTCAGCTCCGAGCTTTGAACTCTCAGAGGAGGAAGGGGAAAAAAATTCAACACACCACCTCCTTGGTTGCAGTCTCAGAGAAACCTTGGATGAGAAACTTCTTTTTTCAATCCTGTTTTCCTGTTGATAAATTCAGTTCTGTGATCACAGTTCATTCAAGCTGTTCTGCGTATGATTTTTGTGTGTATGTGACAATTGCATCTAAAACTTGTGAGCAAGAAGACAGAGAAATCAGTTGGTCTCCATCGCTTTACATAAAAATGGCTGAGTGTCTTGTCATGCTAGCACTGCATTAAGTGATGCATACAGGTAGGTTGAAATTTGCATGTTTTTATAGTTTTTTTTTTAGCCATGCAGCAAGAACATTAGATGCATTAGAATATGACTTTTAAAAAAACAAAAATTAAATAAGACAGTTGTAATCTTTTGGGGGAGGGTTTTTAATTGGATAGCCTCTGCTCTTCAGATAGTATATAAATGTATAGCTTTTACAAACTTACTAAATGATTCTGCCATAAAAGGGAGATTAATTTTTTTAAAAATCATATATATGATAGGTGTGGTGCCATTAGACAACAAAAGAATTTTTTGAAAAGAGTGATGATTCAGCTCCATTTCAGCTTGAAACTAAAAATAAATGGGTTTCTGGAGATGATTTCAAAGAGCGTAAACAAGCTTAATAAGAAACATTAAAAATATTTAAATTTTAAGAAGCGGTCTTTAAACGTGTTATATGAAAGATGAAAATAAAAACTAATATGCTTCCAAAATTAATTTTAGGTAATATATAAGAATATATTATATTATGTATATAATTGGGGGAGATGAGGAGTTGCAATTTTCAAAGAGGGAAATATTAAATATAGATGGCCCTCTTAACAGAAATAGAGCTTCACTGAATGAAACCGAGCCCCTAGAATGGTTCATTGCAGACCATATAGCTGTGGTTCTGGCACTTTTCAAAATAATTTCATGAGCTCTTTCTTTTGAGCTTAACTTCTCAAATATATTTTAGTTTCAAATTTAACACTGGGCCAGAACCTGTTTCCTTGGTAACCAAATCGTATTTCAACATGCAATAACAGATATGCAAAAGAATGTCTTTAAAAAGGAAACAAATGTTTAATGAAAAATTTACAGTTCTTTTTCCTCTCATATAGAATCTGAACTGGTTTCAGATGGTTTTAATGCGGTCTTCAAGCCTTAAAAATTAAGCCATGTTTCTAAACATATAGAGAAAGCTTGCACAGTGACAGCTTTTCTCTCCCTTCTTTGTGCTCAGCACTTTCAAAATTAAGGTTTTCTTTGCAATATGCTCCAGAATGCAGGTCAAGGTTTGTGTACAGAGGTGTAGTTTCATTATCACAAGTTCACCAGCGCCACTGAAACAAAAGGTATTTCACAAATTCTGAGAATCAGAAAATGCTTGTGCTCTTGCCTTCCCTGATCCCTCCATTGGTAACCTCAGTGCTCTCGGTAGAAAAGGACCCAAATCCAAGCCTACGCCTCCAATGACAAGTGCACCCTGAACCTTTGTGGAAATATCTCTATAGATGTGTTAGGAAGATGGTGCTAAACCTGAAACCTCCCCGAGGTTTGCTTCGATGTGAAGAACATTGAGATTCAAAACCATCTGTGTAAATGGTTGCTTTATTCTAGCAGTTTATCTAATATTCTATTCCATAGCACTATCGTAGAATTGAACCTTTCTAATGGGCTGAAGGGTGGTGGTGGTTGTTGTCATGTTGTTTTGTGGCCAACTAAAATATTTTGCTTGGAGTCTTTCTCTGGTTCAATTATTTTAGAACGTGATTCATCTCATACTGATTTTGTTCTCCAGGCTTGCCATGAAATACCCTTCCTGCAACACCTTTTTTTTTTTTGGCTGTTGGGAGCCATTTTCCTTCTTGCCTGTGACTTTAAATGACTAAGTATATTTTGAATATAGTATCAATCAGAAGATTGTAAACTGAAGGGAAATATCAGAAACCTGATTCAATATTGCCCATTTTTTTCGTACCAACAGCATTAACAGTTGCAATAGGATCAAGCTAATTGTCATTCACTCTTGAGCAAATAATGAGCCAGGCATTTATAATTAAAACACTACTGCTAGTCAGAAAGCTTATAACTACAATGTCTTCTGTTTTGATAGGCCAGTACAAAGTAATCATTTTGCACCTATTTGAATCTTAATTACAAGATTAGATGGATGCAATGCAATTGTTTTACCATTAAAGTGAATGCATGATAGATTTAACAGTGTATTTCTTCTTTGTAGAATGTCAATTCTTTTGTTTGTAACTCAAGCATGGTTGCGTCATCTTGTAGATTTTCATACTTAATGGGGTTTTTTTGTGGCATTATTCACTTACGTTGCTCTTAGTCTTGCCTAAAAGAATTTTAAACCCAATTCAAGGATCTAGAAAGCCAAATAAGATTGTTGGGAAGTGTATCGTATCATTGTCATTCTAATAAATAAATCAGTGAATAGAATAATAATTACTATATATTACTTCGTTGTGTTTCACCTGAATACTTTGCCTTCATATTTCACAGCAATCTTGATAAGGCACCAAGCTTTCCTAAACTTACCGATTTACAATTATTATTGAATTTCCAAGAGTAGCTGAAAATGCTTCTTGGTGACTGTAGAGGATGGCATTTACCCCATCTCATTGTTTGAAAAGCTATCCTGAACCCATTTACACTTTTTGGCTCAGGTATTTTTACTGGACAGGCCAGAGCAGGTGCGACAAGAAGACTGTGCAAACAATTGCACTGTTCTCACCAAAACAAAATGGGCAAATATGTGGTTTTCTGTTGGAATGATTTATAATATAAAATACTATAATATTTATAATCCTGTAATACCAAGATTGCATCTCTTGCCATAATACTAGAGTGGTATTGATCTACCTCATCCATTTCCATGGATCCCCCAGAGATGGACTGGTAATCAGACTATGACTTAGAGCCTCTTCACTGTTATGTGAGAAGAACCTAGAAAGAGATCTAGCACTTTCTCTTTAGTACTAAGTCATGCTAAGTCTTTGAGTTCCTGGTACCATGTGGTTCATTCTAATAGCTCCGTTCTAGAGGAAATGCTGTTCTTAACAGCTCTCTTGGTAAATAAACAGTCCACACATTTATTAAGCATCTATTATATGCCAGGCATATTCCAGAGGCCGGGAGGGTGCTTGTGGGGAGGGGAATAAGCAAAAATATAGATGTAAATAAAGAAGGCGAGTGCACAGAGGAAAATTAAAAATTTTTAAATGAAAGTGGTCCAGGCACGATGGCTCATGCCTGTAACCCCAACACTTTGGGAAGCCAAGACAGAAGAATTGCTTGAGACCAGGAGTTTGAGACCAGCCTGGGCAACATAGCAAGATCCCATCTCCACAAAAAATTTTTAAAATTAACTGGACATAGTGGCTGGTGTGTACCTGTAGTCCTAGCTATTCGGGAGGCTGAGGTAGGAGTATTACTTGAGCTCAGGAGTTCGAGGTTGCAGTGAGCTAGAATCATACTACTGCACTCCAGCCTGGGCAAAAAAGCAAGACTTTTTCTCTAAAAAAAAAAAAAAATTTTAATTAAAAAAAATAAAAAGTGAGGGTTATGTGGTTCTAGGGAGGAGAGCCACTTTAGAATGTTTGATCAGAATGTTCTGAGGATGTGGCATTTAAGTGGAGATCTGTGTGCTGAGAAGAATCTAGTCAGGTGAAGATCTGACGTGGGGCATTACCAGGCAGAGGAGCGCTCATGCGCAGCCTTCAAACTTTCCTTTCTTTGTGTAAATGTTGCTGTCTAAGAGCCAGGTCTGACAGCTTCAAGGGCTGAGGCTTATTTAGGTAAGCTTCCCCTACAGTAAGAGGATGGCCCGGGTCCCTGTGACTGGTGTTGGCCAGTCAAACTCCCAGAGTCTGGTACTCATGGGGTCATTGCCTTTGACCCAATCACGACCCTGAAACTGCTTCAGAAGGTACAGTATGTTGCAGTGCTAGGTGGTGATGAAATTCTGGCACAGATTCAGTGTCAACCCAAGAAATCCACAGAAGAAAGACCTCTCAGAGTAAAGAAATTTCTGAGAAGCCTCTTGCTTTATTTTTCATAAGAATTCCAGAATTTAAACCAATGGCAAAACATTGAGATAGTCATTGAATTTTTTTCAAAGGCAAAATGGTGGAAGGGTCTGTCTCATCTCATCTGGCCAGTAGATTGTCTTAGTCCTAAAATGCCTCCCACCAGAGTGAAGTTTTTTTCAGGTTTTGCTAAAATGCTTCAGCTCTGCACACATCTTTGCCTGTTGGTGGCTTTCTGAAGAACTAGTGAGATTTTTTTTCTCTATTAGAGCAAGTCATTCTTTAAAAAAATCTTCTTAAGAACCAGAAGTCTTTCATGCTTTTCAGGTTAGTCTGTTGACAAAGGTCAGGGAACAAAGGGAGAAGTTTGCTATGCGAGTTAGAAACTATAAGGCTCTTTTGAGCCTTCTAAACATTTCAGAAGCACCTTCTAAGATTGATTCATTACTTAGCAGACTTTGCTTATCACAGTAGAAGTGGCCTGGCTGGCATGTTATACTTCATTTGGTTTTGAGAGGTCCTGAAACATTCCACTACATGAAGACAAGCTTGTTCAGTTCCTTTGTAGTAGAGTGGGAGAAGGGGACTGGTGTAAAGGGGCTCTCTGCCCATTAGTGGGGAAGGAGACTGCAACAATTCAGTTTACTTCTTTGAGCATTTTTTGAGCATCTGCTATGTGCCAGACACTGCTATAAGCCAAGCAGAATGAAATACGACATGGTCCCCTATGAAACTGCAGTCCAGGTTCCCACACAAGGGTAGAGCATTGTATGGACAAGCACAATTGTGTATCCTCCCTGTTCCAGGAAGAAATAAATGGCGTGCTGTTCTCTTAATGGCCTTTTATGCTGTTCGCTGGAGGCCATCACTCAGTTTGGGGCATTTCAGCTGATGACAAGGACAGTTCTTCACTCGGACTTTGTGTCTTGACCTCACCACCTTCCCGAGATGTCTTGGCTCCTAATAAGCCACCGTATGTCTGGCTGCCCTTCTCCAAGCTGGTCTGCCTGCATTGCCAGGTGACCTCAATAACGGCTGCCACTTTTGCATTCATGAGCAGATGTTAAGTTGAGAAGCCCTCGAATGCAAAAATTTGAATTTGTGATGCAGGCAAGATGCTTTTTTACCTTCCCTGGCTGACAGTGGGGGGTCTCCATGCTGGCTGTTCTGCAGAAGGTTTTCTGGGCAGCAGGTAAATCAGAGACCAGTTGCAAAATCAATTGTCTTTGTTAGGTGATCCCAGCATGCCACTGCCTTAGCCTAAATGTCTCATTGACCAGAAAATTGCTCTTTTGATCTCATAACTCATTTTGCATTTTTTCCCCCTTAATGTCCTCCTTGCTTCTGCAGCAATTCCTGCTCAGGGTTCAGGACTAGCACTTGTGTCTACACTCTCTTTGTTTGGCCTGTGGAGGGAGTTTGTTTTCTGGTGCTGTTTGGTTTGAAAAATGCCAGTGTAAATATTCTTTCTGTGCTCATGAAAAGCAGTGGAGGCTTTTATTACATGCTTTCTACAATCAAACAATCCTCTTCCTTACTCTGTGGTCATTGCTGCCAAATGGATATTTTGAAATTTCTTTTCCTCTTGCTTGCTAAAATCTCCCACCCTGTCTGAGGCCTTGCTCTAATTAAGGCCTAACAATCCTGCCGACCTTCCCCAGCGCTGAGCATGACGTAGAGTCCCTGCCCCGAGGGCCTTACAAGCCAGTGAAGCCAGAAAACAAAAGCCACCAGCTGAGAGTGTGGTTAAATCCCAGAAGGGCAGTGCCCTTGTCATTTTTTTTTTTTAATTAATTTATTTATTTTTCCTTTTCTCTTGCTTCTTGAACTGAGGAAGGGAAGAGAGGAACCTGGAGCAGGGAAAGGAAGGAACTACACCATGGAAAGATTCTCTGAAGTACTCAGGGTACTGGGGAAACAATGCTGAAGAGAATGGGGTGGTCATCTGGGAAGCAAAATGGGGAGCTGGCTGTAGATAGAGAGGGCAGCACGGGGCAGGGTGAGGATGCAGAAGGTAAGAAAGAGGGAACAAAGGAAGCAGTCAGGAGGCAGCTGGGGGACAAAAGGAGATGCCACTCTGCTGCGCCATGGAGCTGGGGGAGCAAGGTACCAGGGAGAAAGTGGGAAGGGATTGCAACTAGAAAAAGAAGGCTCAGGAGAGACCCTCAATGCAGGTTGCAGGCCTACTGCATACAGACTGGGTGCTATGATGTACTCTCTGGCTTCGCTCATAATGTTGGCCTTGCTACTTAATTGCCCCATGTTGCCTATTGTGAAGCGCTTAGAGATTGATGTCTTTAAAGGTGATTTACTGCAGAGTCATATAAACTTTCCATTTTTTTTTTCTTTTCTTTTTTGAAACGGAGTCTCGCTTTGTCGCCCAGGCTAGAGTGCAGTGACGCAATCTCGGCTCACTGCAACCTCCGCCTCCTGGGTTCAAGCGATTCTCCTGCCTCAGCCTCCTGAGTAGCTGGGACTGTAGGCAAGCACCACCACGCCCAGCTAATTTTTGTATTTTTTTAAGTAGAGACGGGGTTTCACCGTGTTGGCCAGGATGATCTCCATCTCTTGACCTCGTGATCTGCACGCTTCGGCCTCCCAAAGTGCTAGGATTACAGGCGTGAGCCACTGTGCCCAGCCTGAACTTTCCATTTCTATCCCAAGTCTCCTATTCTACATGCTGAGGATGCCAGAGGGCCCCCTTACCACAACTCCCCACCACCCCCTACTACCCTCCTCCCTGTTCCTGTACTAGATCTGAATTAAACATTAAATGAAATAAGCAGACTTTTTATTCATGTTGTGTGATCAGGTGCTTTTGGTCTTCTGCAAAGCACGGACCGACGACCTACCCAAAATACCTGCTGTACACTGCAGATTTTGGAAATTATTTTCCCCAAAGTCAGGTTGCCCACTGCAGGCATGCTACTTTGCTTTGGGAACCCCCAGAGCCTTCCTCTTCCTTCCTTCACGAGCCTATGCAGCCCCGGGTCTGAGTGCCTGTGGAGCCATCCTCAAAGGATATTCTGATTGTTTAAATCGTTTGGTCTCCAGGAGACCACACCTGGCTGGCATACCAGCATTTAGCACTGCGTCATCCCTGTACTTCCTGCTAAGCTCTTACGGGAATCCGAACTACAAGTTTCAGTTGCCTTGTTGATTTTACTCTTTTCACTCTATCTTTGAGGTAACCGTAGCCCAGAGAAGATGGGATTTCTCAAGGTCTCTTGGAGAGTTAAGTGGTGGAATGAAACCATGCGTGACTCCTAGACCAGTGCTCTTTCTACTAAAGCTGCCTTGAGGTCACAGGGAAAGGCCAGTTCTAAACCAGGGGCTGACAAACTTTTTCTATAAAGAATCAGACAACAAATACTTTACGCTTTATGGCATGAAAAAAACAAATTTTCAACAAATTGAGTTTAAAGATCTACTTGGTTTTTATTAGCAATTCGTGAATCAGGCAACATGCTATCTATAAGAAATAGGAAGGTACTCTGTTGGGCATGGCAGAACAGTTGGTTTTTATAAGGTAGCTTAGGCAGTTATAAGGAAATAACATAATACAAAAAGCAGATTGGTTAACATCAGGTTACTGCAGGTAGTTTTCCTTATAAAGATTAAAGCAGAGGGGACTTCTTTATTATTGTGACTTAAAATTGGCCTATTATCTCTCTCCTAATTTCTCAAGTCAGATAAACAACTTCATTTCAGTTTGGTGATGTGGAACTTTAGCGTGAGTGACTCCATTTTGGTTTGGTCTCTTGGGGCTTAGTGCAGGAGCCAGTCTAAATCAATGGCCTCCTATACATTTAATTTAACAGTGGGTCAAGGCAAAACTGAAGATAATTCATAGGTATTTATGTAACAATTGACAAAGCAAATTTTCATAAATTTTGTATTGATGAAATTCAAAGTACAACAATATGTAATATTAAGTATAGTAATAATGATAGATATACTATCATTCATAGATACAGAAATGAATGAATGTGACTGTGTCTCAAAACTTCACTTATAAACTCTGAAATCTGCATTTCATATAATTTTCACATCATGAAATTCAGGCATACCTCAGATATCACAGGTTCGGTTCCAGGCTACTTCAATACAGCAAATGTTGCAATAAAGCAAGGTGCACAAACTTTTTAGTTTCCCGGTGCATGTAAAAGTTGTGTTTGCATTATACTGTAGTCCTTTAAGTGTGTAATACCATTATGTCTACAAAAATGTTTATACCTTAGTTTAAAAATAGTTTGTTGCTAAAATTTGCTACCGATATCTGAGCCTTCAGCAAGTCATAATCTTTCTGCAGTCGGAGGGTCTTGCCTGGATGTTGAAGGCTGCTGACTAAACAGTGGTGTGTTGCTGAAGGTTGGGGTGGCAATTTATTAAAATAAAACAACAGTGAAGTGTGCTGCATTTATTGACTCTCACAAAATATTTCTCTTTAGTATGTGGCACTGTTTGATAGCATTTGACCCACAGTAGAAATTTCTTTCAAAAGTAGAGTCAGTCTTCTCAAACTTTGTCCTTGCTTCATCAACTAAATTTATGTAGTATTATATCTCCTTTGTTGTCATTTCAACAAGGTTCACAGTGTCTTCACCTGGAATAGATTCCACCTCAAGAAACCACTTTCTTTGCTCATCCATAAGAAGCCACTCCTCATCTGATCAAGTTTTATAATAAGATTGCAGAAATTCAGTCGCATCTTTAGGCTCCACTTCTAGTTCTCTTGCTATTTCCACCACATCTGCAGTTACTTCCTCCACTGAAGTCTTGAATCTCTCAAAGTCATCCATGAGGGCTGGAACCAACTTCTTCCAAGCTCCTGGTAATGTTGATATTTTGACCTCCTTCCATTAATCATGAATGTTCTTAATGGCATCTAGAATGGTGAATCCTTTCCCAAAGGTTTTCAATTTGCTTTGCCCAGATCCATCAGAGCAATCACTGTCTATTGCAGCTACAGCCTTATGAAATATATTTTTAATAAGACTTGAAAGTCAAAATTATTCTTTGATCAGGACTACAGAATGGATGTTGTGTTCGCAGGCATGAAAACAACCTTCATCTCCTTGTACATGTCCATCACAGTTCTTGGATGACCAGGTATATTGTCAACGAGCAGTAATATTTTGAAAGAAATCTTTTTTCTGAGCAGTAGGTCTCAACAGTGGGCTTAAAATATTCACTAAACTAGATCTGCTGTCATCTAGTCATTGTTGCTCCATTAATAGAGTACAGGCAGAGTAGATTTAGCATCATTCTTAAAGGCCCTAAGATTTTCATAATGGTCAATGAGCACTGGCTTCAACTTAAAGTCACCAGCTGCATTAGCCCCTAACAAGAGAGTCAGCCTGTCCTTTGAAGTTTTGAAGCCAGGCACTGATTTCTCCTCTCTATTTATGAAAGTCCTAGGTGACATCTTCTTCCAGTGGAAGGCTGTTTTGTCTACACTGGAAATCTGTTGTTAAATGTAGCCACCTTCATCAATTGTCGTAGCTAGATCTTCTGGATAACTTGCTGTAGCTTCCACATCAGCACTTACTTCACTTTGCACTTTTATGTTATGGAGACAGCTTCTTTTTTAAACTTCATGAACCAACCTCTGCTTGCTTCACATTTTTCTTCTGCAGCTTACTTACCTCTCCTAGCCTTCCTAGAATTGAGGAGAGTTAGGGCCTCACTCTGGATTAGGCTTAGGCTAAAGGGAATGTTGTGGCTCATTTGATCCTCTATCCTGACCACTCAAATTTTCTCCATATCAGCAATAAGGCTTTCTTATCATTTCCGTGTTCACTGGAGTATCACTTTTAATTCCCTTCAAGAACTTTTCCTTACAACTTGGCTAAATGCTTAGCACAAGAGGGCTAGCTTTTGGCCTGTCTTGACTTTCAATATACCTTCCTCATGAAGTTTAATTGTTTCTGGCTTTTGATTTAAAGTGAGAAATGCACAATTCTTCCTTTCACTTGGACATTTAGAGGCCATTGTAGGGTTAATTGGCCTAATTTCAGTATTTTTGTAGATGAGGAAATATGGAGGCCCAAGGAGAGGAAGAGAGGTAGGGAATGGCCAGTCAGTGGAACAGTCAGAACATAAACATTTATCAATAAAGTTCACCATCTTATATGGGCGTGGTTCATGGCACCCCAAAGCAATTACAATAGTAACATCAGATCACTATAACACATATAATGATAATGGAAAAGTTTGAAATATTGTGAGAATTACTAAAATGTGACACTGAGACACAAAGTGAGCACATGCTATTAGGAAAATGGCACCAGTCAGACCTGCTTGACTCAGGGTTGCCAGAAACCTTCAACCTGTAAAAAAAAATACCACAGTATCTACAAACCCAATAAAGTGGAGTGCAGTAAAACGAGCTATGTTTATATTCTCCTTTTGATTTTTTCCCAATAAGTAAAAAATGTATAAACTATTCTTAGCTTATAGGCTACACAAAAACAGGTATCAGGCCAGATGTGGCCCGAGGGACCTAATGGGTTTTGCAGGCCCATTTTCTAATTGGAAACCTGTAAACTGGGGCCCTATTGGCCAGATTCAGTCCACCTGTGTGTTTGTTTCACTTCTAACAACGTTTTTAGTTGAATGAGTTCCCAATATTTTTGTTTCTTGGTTTTAAAATGATATTACTTTTTTTTTTTCAAATTATAAAAGTAGTATATCCCTACTATGAGGTAATTTGGAGTGTTGAACATTTTGGCACGGATCCCTTCAGCCTTTTATCTATGCATGGTGTATTTTTTAATAGTTGAGATAGTAATTTGTAGACAAACTATGTACCTGCTTGTCTACTTAACATCATAGCAGAAGCATTTTATGTCATTTTAAATAAATACTTTTATTAACATAACCTTTTAAAACTTTATGAAAATCTTTAAACATATGTAGTAGAGGCTAGTTTAATGAACTCCTTGTTAGTTCTTTGACAATTGTCAACTGCTAGCCAATCTTGTTTCATGTAAATCTCCTTCTGTATTATTTTGAAGCAAATCTCAGACATCGTATAATTTCTAAATATTTTAGTATGATTTAGTATGATTCTCTAAAAGCTAAATATTCTAAGAAAAAGGGTTTTCTCTCCGAAAAGAAACACTAAAATATTTAGGGGTAAAAGAGAATGTTGTCTGTAACTTTCATATGGTTCAGGAAGGTCTGGGTAAAGAGTATACAGGAATCTTTTTTTTTTTTTTTTTTTGCACTGTTCTTGCAACACTTCTATGAGTTTGAGGTATTTTGAAATAAAAAGTTTTACAAATGTAGATTACTTTTAAAATATACTTTTAAAATGTGGATTACTAAAAAAGAAAAATAACCACAGTACTAGACCACACCAACAAAGAACAATCATTCTTTAATTACAGCAGAACATCATAGCATTCAAAAAATGAAAGGTCATCTTTTAAAAAACTAATTTATTTGTTCAAGGCTCAAATCCAAATAAAGTCCATACAGTGCAACTGACACGATTAAATTTTATTTAATTTATAGGTTTCCCTCCTCTCTTTTGTTCCTTGCTATTGCTGTAAAAATTTTGTTGAAGAAACTGTTTGTAGAGTTTCCTCCTATCTGAAATCGGTGATTACCTCCCTTGGTGCTGTTTTATGTGTTTCTCTATCTCAGAGAGTTCCTGTAAATTGGGAGTTACATCTACAGACTTGATCAGATTTATATTCCTTTTTTTCTTTTTAAGTAGTCAACATTTCATAGATTTTATGTAAAAATCCTGATTCAGGCTCCCTTAGGAAGTGCTGCCACCTGGCAACAATTGGTCCAGGGTTGGGTAGCCACCATCCCCATTCCTCACCTCCCAACCCCATTTAGGTGGGACTTGAATTCTCCTGCAGGCCAAAGTTCATGCCACTTCCCATATGCAGTTTCACACATTTATCTGCCTGGCTCCCACAGGCATGGGAAGTTGACACCCCTATTCTAAACATTGCCTCTTCAGGGGCTTTGGTAGATTTCCTACCAAACACATACATCACACACAACAAGTGGCCTTTCAAGAACATAGTAGAGATGAGAAAAAATGATTTGGAAAGAGACTTCCTTAAAGTGCTTGAAGGGAAAGTGATAAGCAGCCTAACTGGGGGAGGCCAAGTTACAGAATTTGGTGAGAACACAGGTTGAGGGAAAGAGGAAAAAAAAGTAAAACCATGAATTAAATTAACAGAGTGCTGCTAGTATGAAAGTTGGAATGTGTTAACAGATTCCTAACCAATAGTAGGAAACAAAGACAGCAAGTTGGTTTAAAAAAGATACTTTAGTCTTTTAATGTAATATTGAAACCTTAAAGAGAAGAGGTTAGTAAGTGTTAAATTGGCCAAGAGTCCTAGTCAGAAAGTGCAAGCAGGCAGTTGTAGGATAACAAAAATCAGTGTGGAGATTAAATGAATGAGGTAGGAAAACCTTCTAGAAAAGGCCCCTGGAAAAGAATCAGGAACCATACTGTGGGAATGGTGAAGAACTGGTGGAAATTTAAGAGAGGAGATAATCTTGAAAGTCTTGGGTTTTTTGTTTTTTTGGTTTTTTTTTTTTTTGCAAATGTATTGAAATGAGAAGTATTATAAAGAGAGAGGAAACACATCATGTTTAGTGGTCTTGAAAATGATAAACTTTTGCAGAAAAGAAAATAATGACAACTTGGGCCCTTTCTGGAAATTTCCAGATAGTTCCCCATACTCAGAAGAATGATTAAGAGAGAGAATCTGTGACTGGTTATGAGGAAGGATGGAAAATTTTGAAGGACGGGTTGATTATGTAATTTTTAGACTGTGTTGTTTAAAACTGTTGCTGTGATATTTTAGTTATTAATAACAATTTGGGGAAATCTAGTCAGTTCTGGAGAAACATTTGGCGCTAATAAGAAAGAAATGCCACTGTTTGTGAATTCCCAAGTGGATGTAAAGACCCATTCACTTGCTAAGCCTCTTAGGAAACCCAGAGCCGGTTTTACCCTTAACAAGCTGTTGACAGAGTCTGATCAAGGTACCACCTGGAACATGTTAACAATACAAAAAAGTGGATGTGGAGTCAGACCTGTTTCAATCCCTTTATGTCACTCACCATGTGACCCTGGCAGATTACCCATGGAAAATTTCTAGGGTGTAAAGGTTGTTTTACACACAGTAGCTATGATTCTCACTGCTTGGATGGTAGGAACTCAGAACTCTGAATACTTCCAGTACTAACGGCAGCCACAACAGCCTACAGTCATAGCACACTTACATAATACCAGGTACTCTTGCAAATGCTTCACATGTATTATCTCATTTAATTCTTAAAAAGTCCTACAAGGTAGGCACTGATATTAAAATTAGTCCCATTTTATAGATGAAGAAGCCAAGGGAGTTTAGCTAACTTGCCTAAATTGGCCTTGTAAGCAACAAAGCTGGGCTTTAAACCCAGGCAGGCTGAATCCAAAGTGGAATTGCCTTGCCCTACCACCTCCCACCTTCCAGTCACAGGGAAACACAGACAGCAATACCGAATACTAGCACTTCCCAACCCTGGTTCCTAATCCATGTGCCTCAGTTTTCTTGGAGATCTTTGAATAATTTTCAGAGTTTCCAAAAGCTTCAGTGGAAACATATAAACATGCAATTATTAATAGACCACAAGTTTTTTAGGTTAGAATCCACTATTAACAACAGCTTAGTTCAGGTTTTGAGGAAGCTCTGATTGGCAATTGCATATACAAAAACATTGCAGGTTTTTGTTTTTGTTTAAGTGGGAAGATGAATCATTACTTAATAAATGCAATTTAGTGGAGTAGATCTTGCTGAACATGTGGCATATGGAGGAAGAATAAAGGGTGCTTGGCTTTGAGGAGGTTGGGAAATGCTAATATACATGTGTACGCATGTTGCCTAAACTGTCGGCCTTCAAAACTCTTCCTCTTATTTTTAAATAACACGATTCTTTAATCTGACTTGGAGTCAATATATTTTTCCCTCATTATTTAAAATGTTTTGTTGGCTTTATATTTAATATTGGAGTCTATTCATCAAGTGATCACATTCTTAAAACATGGTCAGGAACTGGGATGCAGAATTGCAAGTACTATAGATTCCTAGCTAAAAACGTAAGTTATGCAAAGAATTGACTTTTTAATCTTTTTAAGCTGTGCCCTTGAATTTTTTTAAAAGAAACTTTAAGACTTTACTATCAAAACAAGGGAACATGGACGATTTTTTAAAAACAAACACCTGTCCATTATTCATGCATTAGCTCCACATGGCCAGCCTGTGGCAGGCCCTCTCTGAATACTTTTTCAATGAGCAGTCCCTGGATCTTGGAAGAAAGATGCCAGCGGCCAGGGCCCTTCATTTAAAGAAGAAGACTGGGTCTTTTGCGTGAAATAGTTTCTATGCCACGTTGGGAAAAATCAATCTAGGCCTCTCTTGACGGCCATGGAAAAACACAGGTGACTCCTTATTCCTGAGCATTTGATGCAATTGAAACAGCACCAGACTCTGCGAATCCTGTGTGCAGAGTCTGGAACAGGAGCTCACGGACACTTCTGCGGCCCGGGGCCTTGTTCTGACAGTCACCAGGCTGTGTG